GGTTGGCATCCAACATTCAGGTGCTTTACCGCCACCTGCTGGACTGGAGTTACCTAAAGTTTTGCAAGATCTCGTAAAAGATACCTCTATTTGTTTTTTTTTCTCTCCCTGTTTTTTTTTCTGTCTCCATGTGCCTTCCAGGGCTTCGTAGCAAAGTCATGTTTTAGTGTCTGGTGCTTTTGGGTGTTGACATGTCTATGAAAGGACACCAGGAAGTAGCCATAGCTGCTTCCTCAAGGCCAACATGGGCAAAAGAAAATATTCTGCCTTCTCTCCTGCTATATGTGATTAAGCTAACGTTCATCCATATAAATGAATGTATTTAGCACCCTAAGTAGTGTTTCAGATTCACTTGAATGCCTTCTGGCAAGGTGTTGCTTCAACAGTCGAGGTGATAACCGACTGATAGATTTTTTCCTCTCATGGCTGGTAGATTCATAATGCTGTATATTTACTAAACAGAAGTGCTCCTGATCGGATTCCAGCTGGGAGTTTTGTCTGCATGTTACGGCGTCCTCTTTTCCACTTTGTTTCCTGACTGCTTCTGATCCAGGGAAGGCCAAAAAAAAAAAGTTGGAAAAATTAAAAAATAAAAGCAGGAAACTCAATAGAAAACTAAGAGAGAGCTCAAAATGAAAGCCAGGCAGAAACCGGTCTGTTTCTCGTTTTCTACAGAGAATAGAAAAGACAAAAGAGATCCATCCAGCTCCGTGTCTCGCTGGGTGTCAAATCTTCTTAATGTGTGAATGAATGTCGCTCAGATTAAGCCATGCGTGTGATGTCCTCGACGGGTTCCAATTATACCGCGGCCCTGAGAAGCACAAAGCTGCTGCGTTTCCTCTGAGGCTGATACAGTCGAGGTGGAGAGCACGGGGATCGATATGTCGATAGTCCTGGCTGTTTATACACAGTCATATGTTAGCATATAATGATGTTATACGCCCAACAAAAGCCGAGTCGAAGCCGTGCCAAGTGCTCTACCTGCTGGGAGAGTGGCTGAATCAGTGGCAGTGATCTGTTTGCATCAGGATGACAGACACTCCAGCGTGAGAGCAGAGCCAGGCAGACACTCTCTGTGATTTGGATGGTGCTTCTCAGTGTGGGGTGCCAGAACAAGCGTCGCAGCCAAAGGTGTCCCAGTTATTTATTCCCCCCACGAGACAGCTGTTGTCTAATCAGTATGAAGCCCGCAACATGTCGGCGTCGATAGGCTCCGGCTCCTCCTGACCCTCAAGGAAAGTGCATGGAAAGAAAATGTAATGATAATAATGATGTGATAATAGAAGCAACAGAATGTAGGTATTGAGCTTTGTCACACAGCAAAAAGTGAAAAGTTATGCAAAGTTTTCTGGTGGATTATTCTGAAAACTGGTCAACACATTCAGAAAAAGGTCACATAGGAGCAGATTTATGCAGCAATGAGATCAATGTGGACAGAAAACTAGCATCTTTAAAAAACAACAAACAAAGTAGTTTTACCGTGTTTACCAGCTTTACTGATGAACTCCACAGATGTTTTATTAATATAAAAGATTCTGCTTTAATAGAGTCGAGTGGTGATGTGATACGTCTCCAGATGGACAGCAGGACTTTTTGGCCGACGCTGCTCCGTTTACGGACGTGTTTTATTGGCTAAGATGTGAAACACAAGGCGAGTTTGAATTACAGTTAAGAAGACAGATATTATTATTTTTCCAGATTCTCAGGCTGACAGTAAACTTGGTATTCGAGCTGCATGATGTGTAAATTCAGCCTCGTCAAATAAAACTTTGAAATGTAACGGCTCCACTGATAGAAAATAGTCCGTGTAGATTGAAACATTTGGTTGAAACTTGGGGAGATCTGACATTAGAACGCCTCATGTCAGTCTTATCAGTCACATTCATGTCTGAGCTGCCGTTCTGCAGCAACTGAATGGAGACGAGAGGCTTCATGTGCACAAGGCTGCATCCACCCGACTAGTTTCTACCAAACTTGCACGAGGCGTTTAGGGAACATCCGTAAATTCTAGTGTCTTTTGATAAGTTCAGCACATGAGGAGTTTTGAGAACAATTTTATTTTCTAATTCAGGTAGAGAATAGCTTTATATTAAGTCTTTTTTGGATGGAGAGGAATGTGAATGAATGAAATATTTATTTTAAACAAAAATAAAAAATAAAAACAAAAAAACCACAAGGGGATAAACATGTACAAACATGAGTTGGAAGAGGAGCAGGAAGAAGTATAATCACCCTATGAGTCATTACAATATTACATGTTCCTTTATGTAATAAGTGGACTTAATATTTCTTCAGGATAAATATGTCATTTGCTAATAGATTGTTATAGTCATGTATATTACCAATATAAGTATATTGCAACAGTACACTACTTACATCTATGTTTAGGCCTACGTACATACACATATTAATAAGTAATGGATTTAATATACAATAATATATGATATATAATAATATTTAGTCACCCTCAGTATGATATATGTGATCCCTACTTATTAATCATAAACAAATAACAGCTATGGAGGTACAACTATAGATGTATGTACAAGATTTATATCGTATATGATAACAGTGCTGCACAACGTGAACATCGTTTATTTAAAAGTGAAAAGGCAAAAAATGAGTTTTTATTTCTAAAATCAATAAATAATTGTCATAAATTGACTAATTGTGAACTTAAATCAAAATATCTGTCATTACATTCACCATGTCTTTTTAATTTCACTTAATTATTAAATCATTAATATCTCAAATAGCACACTGATAATACTGTTACAGTAAATGTAAGGAAAGCACATCATATCTGCTTTCTTTCACTATACTGAAACCTGTAGACGTTCATCTAACGGCCTAATGACGGACGTGATGCAGCCGTCACCTCTGAAGCTTCGCTCTGAGCTCATTCACTGCTCCAGGGAGAATATTGTGGGTCGACATCACTGCAGTCCTCTTTTACAGCTCTGCAGTCTTCAGTCCCACTCTGTAAGACCCTTAAATCAAACTTTAGGATCATTACACACTTTTCCCAGGGGATACTACTCATTAGCCTTTTCCTGGAGATTTCCAGCTTATCTCTCTGTTCTCGTTGGTTCTGGTCGAGAGTCAGGGGCAGCTGGCATCAGAACTCTGCCGTTAATACTTTTTAACGGGTTATTCTTTGGTTACGTCACTGCTGGGGCTGAGTTTCCTGTTTGTCTTCTGACTCTAAGCAGCCAGAAGCATCAGTGCTGTGGACAGAAGGTGAATTTAGCCGAATCTGATCCAAAAGCATGATTGTTTTATCGCGCCGCGCAGAATCAATCAGCAGCAGTAAAGTGATGCTCGTCATTATCGACAGTGAAGAACACGAGGACCAGAGACTCAAGACTTCTGCCTCCTCTTAGATCAGTGGAGTCTCTCTTCCAGCCTTCATCTGAGAGGAGACTAAAAGAGAGCTCCGTTCAGAGCAGACTTCATATTCCTGCTTTTTACAAAACTCTATTCAAAACAGCGCATGAATCCGATGACTCTGGTTTTGCTTTGTGCGTACGGGGAAAACTTCGCTTTGTACAAATGCTTTTGTATCTGAATGTGGCAGCGTGTGATGGTTTTATGAAACTAAAACCAGGAGAAGCAGATAAAAGCAGTTTTGATTCAGTTCTTTCACGACTCTGAACTTTCTCCTGCTGAAAATGTTGTAATTTGCTGATAAGTAATTGGAATAAACAGTTTAAACTGACAGGAAGCCACGACAGAAACACACAGTTTAAACCAGTTACTGCCAGTTTAGTCATTCTGATGTGGATGGATGTCTTTACAGAAGCTAGCGTGGATGCATGTAGTTGATATTTATAATATGTACACAGCTTTTTGTGGAACATTTTTCTATCTATTAATCATTACTCATCGACTATTTTGCCTTTCAGTTGATTGAAACAATTAATTTTTGCCACTAATTCCCATTAATTTTATTTTGACCACCTGTACGTCACTGTGTGATGCAGCGCAGTACGAAATTGAAGGTTTTCAAAGCAAACAGATCTACGTAGCACAGCTCCTGTGTGTGTTTTGTTGTTGTTGTCTCTTTTATGGTGGTCATTTGAAGCACTGCTGTGTTGTTTAAACTGAGTCGGACTCGCTGTAGCACTGACTGGAGGCGAGAATGAATCATAAAGCAGCGTTTACGTAGTGACACGGAGGATAAACATCGGTTACAGTAAATGGTTTGCATTTATATAGCTGCCTTAGTGGTCCTCAAAGCGCTTTACGATGTTTTCTCATTCATACACTAATGGCGACATGCAAGGCGCCGCCTGCCATTGGGAGCAACTTCAGGTTCAGCATCTTGCCCAAGGACACTTCAGCTGTGGAGGGGGATGGAACCACCACCTTGTGATTAGAGGAAAACAGTGACTTCAAGCATCAGGAGAAACATTTTAAACCCATCGATGTCAACACATTTTCATTGTAGATAGACTAACCATGGCTGCTCTAAACACGCTGCAAAAACGAAATATAAAAATCTGATTCACATATGAGCAAAAAGAAAACTCTGATTTGGGCCTTTAATGCCTCCAGTGACTATAAGAGACTCTCATACTCTGAGAGTGGTTGAATGAGTCCCACAGTCCCACTTAGGCCCGTTTTCACCAGCCACCACTGTCAACAATGATCTTTTATATACAGCGAGTCTCTGTTGGTTTTTAAGCTGGGATATAGAGGTAAACAGGTAATTTATATGCAGTTTATTTTGTCTTAACTTTGAATGTCAGAATGTATCTACAGACTCCCTTGAGGAATAGGGCCTTGTAAGTCTTTGGAAAAGTCTTTGAAACTCCTCAAGCACCAAACGCTGTGGCTGTTTACCTGCAGGTTTCCTGTGTGCTTAATTACAAGACAAATCATATCGACAGCTAACGAGACCTGACAGGATGTTTTCTGCTTACCTTGGAATGGTGATCAACACTAACTTAAACTATGAGATTATTAAAAACACGTTTGTTTTGGCTGCGTTTCTACAGATGACAGCAGAAGCCATTCTCCGCCTGGTCAACGACCCCGTGCTGCCGTTCTACCCTCTGGACATCGCCCTGGACGTTCAAAACAAACTCAAAGGTAACACCGATGATGGCATCATGCTAGTGGTGGTGGAGATGGTGAAATGCGGTGGTATGGAGGGATTATGGTGTAGTCCAGGTGCCCTGTACACCACCAACCAGCAACGGGGTAGACGGACAAAGTCAGCTACGAACAGATGGGTGTAGTGATGTGTTTTAAAGCTAAGGAGTGAGGGTTTGGAAGACCAAAGCAGAGCTAAAAGAAAGGACATTTCAATTGCATGTGCTATCTGCTGGCTATCTGAATAAACAGAAAACCCACTGCTGCTTCTTCAAATCGACTTTATATTGTGAGAAAGAGGAAAGAGTTAAAGCCCTGCTGGTTACAACCTTTTTCAAATTGACTGACTGAAGTAATTGCTGAGATCTCAAAGTGGTATTCCTACAACAAAAGTTCCAGTTTAGCAAGAAACACAAAGACCAGACGGTCATTCATGTTGAAAACAAGCCGGCAGTCTTGCCAGATTAACAACCACTTTATATGGAGGTAAACCAGAAGTTCGTCAACTCGCTGCACTCAAGAAACTGTGGTCAAACTGCACAATGACCCGCTGGGGCTGTAATGTTGGGGTTTGTTTTCCACATGTGATCATCTGTTTGTTGCAGGAGCTGATTTACTTCACAAGAAGTCCCATCAAAAACTCTTAAAGTGCTGATGGTTCGTGTCATTTACAGTTGCTCCTATCAAACATACCAGACGTTGTGGTTCCTAAAGCGGAAAAATGCAAGAAATTGACATAAAATGCTGGAAAAATGTCTTGTCAACCTCGGTCCATGTGTCTGCAAGAGGTGAAGCCTTTTTGCCACAAGCATTTATGTACAAGTACAAGGTAGTTGCTTATATCTACTGCTTCAATAGCAGCCAAGTTATGATGCAATCATGTCCAGCATTGTTGGACTTTGCTGTTTAAATCTTCCTCTCATAATATCATCCGGACCACCACGACGCTGGCTTTCCTCCATATCTCCTATTCTGCTTTTCACTTCCTGCCCTTCATCTGAGTTTTGAATATCATCGGGGATCATAGATTCTCTCTTCCAACCTTCATTTGAGAGGAGAACATCGGTGGACGAAAAAAAAAAAAAAAACCCAGATCAGCTCGACTTCAGTTAGAGATCTGCTTTTCCTGCTGGGACGAGCCAGAATAGTTTCCCGAGTACAGCCGATAGAAGCCAAGGCCAGAGCTGAATAACTGTTAGTTTTCCTTGAAGGCGAAGTCTAGAGGTAGCAATAGTTCTAGCTGATGCTCCGTCTTTTCTGGCACAGAGGATCTGTAGTTCACTTTGCAGCCAGAGTGAGATCAGGAAGATTCTACAGTTGTCTGTGTGTTTCTTGCTGGCAAGCGCAGGCAGCATCCATCACTTCAGTAACACAACTTTCTGTGCAATGTTTTGAGGCCGACAGTTTTTACTGTGACGCAGCTGCATTCGGTACGAGAGGAAGATGCAAAGATGTGTGTGTGTGTTGTTGTGGAGTGTATATTAGGGATTCCTGCTCAGGCTGCGTCGCTGGTCAGCGGAGATGAGTTATGTCTCTGCATAAAGTCCACGACAGCATCAGCGGCTGAACAGAGACACACACTGCAGTATTCTGTCCAGCATCCGAGACTCAAGATGCTCAGCTGCTCAAATCAAATAGCACTGTTTAAACTCTGCAGAATCACATGGGCACACACACATTTGTACTCCTTAACAACCAGTTTTTAACCCTCAAGCAGCTCTCTGTAAAGCCAGAACAGGTCAAAATGTCCTCCCTCCCCAAGGTCTGAAGCTCAGATTTGCTCTTACCGAGGCAGACTTGCAGACGAACCAACAAGCGTATTGAGTGTTGGTTTATTTATTGAGCTGAACACATTAAGCTTTTCTCCAGTGACTCCACAGCAGAGCTCGACCCTGTTTCCCAGTAATTCCGTTCCCATACAGCTAAACTGCATTCTTATTTACAGTACGTTATGAAAGAAGCCTGTTTTCTCCTGTAAAGCTGAGACTGTGACGTGCTGGGAAAGGCTTTCAGTTTGCAGGGCCAACCGGGTTAGCAAATGAATCAGTAACAGGCTTGGAGGCTACCAAAGCTACAAGGTTAGGTTTAGGGAAAACATCACACCGATAACATGTTAGAAGCTTTGTTAGCTTTAAGAAAAATGTCATGGTTTGGGTTAAAGTATGGCACTTGAACACCATGTTGGAAGCTTGTTGGCTCAAAAATGGTGCAACTGTAAAGCAAATATATTAAATGTTGATTAGAAACGGATTTGTAACACGTCACTAGTATAATCCCTCAAAATGTCATTAAAATGCAGTTTAGCTGAATACAAATAGAAGATGTGGCTGCACAGGGACCTCAGTTATTTTATATTTGTTAAATTCCAGTTCAAGTGTTCGATCTTAAGTCTTTCAGAGCTCCAGAGCCAACGCTGGAAGACACTTCTGCTGCTCTCCATTTAAGTTCCTTTGTTAAATTCTCTTTTCCTAAATTCATTGGATTCCGTGTTGGATCTCTGCGTTTAGTTTGTAGTGAGGGAACTTAGATCTGTGATGGATGTAAACACCGCGGAACGCTGTAACGCGCAGCCTGCTGAACTGTAATACATCAGTGAGGTGTTCCGTTCAGATTCACTTTGGGAGATCATTTGCAGTAATGAGTTCTGATCTCTATCAGAAGTCATTTTTTATTTCAAATTATCAAACCTCATTTCCTCTGCGTAATCAAATTCTGTTCTCTGTGTGCAGCCGATCATCTGCAGTCAGACCGCTGGTGTTTCCCCAAAATATAAAACCAACAATCTACGGTAACAGGAGGAACATAATTTCTGGTGTAGTATTTAATAAATGTTAATATTTCAGCTGAGGTTTGGTGTGCTGTACGTCCTTTGGGGCACCAACCCGGCCTGAGAACACAGGATATGATCCACTGTAGGTTAAAGTAATGGCACATCATATCACCTAAGTTAGACGTAGATTGGCAATTCAAGTACTTGTTAAATCAGAGAAAGTGGTCCTCGATGTAGGAGTCATATAAAGGGATTTACATATTTATCAGTCAGAATGTGTGTGTGCAACTTGAATAGTAAAAGGAACACAGCACTTCAGTCAAGGTCTGAATCGAACCCCGTGTAAATTTACATCGGCGAATATGCAGCAGTTAGCATGCCGTACGACCGCTCAGGCCTTCTGAGTGAAAATCAGCTTATTCAGTCACAGTCTCGGAGCATGCAAAGACTCTGTCCTTGAATATTAAGATGACCCTTGAAAGAGGATGCACAACAAAGGCTTTGATACATTTAGCAGGCGTGCTGTCTTCGCACAAACTCGGAATAAACAAAACGCAATGTCGCTTTTGTTATGCACCGAGAAAAATCAGAAAGTGCCGGAGTTGTCAGACGGAGTGAGTTCAGCGAATAGTTAATCAATGGAATGCACACTGTACAGAATTAATTCTTCATGCCTGAGAGACAATAAATGTATAAACCAAGGTGTATCAATCATTTACCGGCTATGATCAGAAATTGGACGAGATGGAGAGACGCTCTCCATCACATGTACTGTAGCTTCAAGTCCAAGTCTCATTCATCGTACCACCAAGGCAATCACTCAGCAGCTCAGGTTCACTGGCTCTGTCTAAGCATGCAAGCATTGTCCCATTAAGGCCCAGATTGAGTGGTTATGCTTCCTCATCTGAGACTAATGCACAGATTATAACCTGAGAGAGAGAGATGATTGATTGTTATACCTGCCTGTAGCCCCTTCGTCTGTTTCTTCATCACTTCGTCCCTTATTGTGCCCACATGTCTCTTCTCTATCAGTTCAATTCAAAGGCACTTTATTCGCATGAAAGCAACAGCTTCTTGGCAACTTTGCACGTCGGCAGTGATTTGAAGAGCTGTTCTACCACTGAGGGTCATTTATTCAAAGCCAACAGGTCTCATCATCCAACCACAGCCCAACTCACAACGCAGAGTCCTGCCGTTAATTAGCAGTGTGATTAATACACCTTCATTCAGAGTTTCTGCTGGATTCATGCTCTGATTATCGAGACTACGAGTCCACTAGATGGAGATCAGAGTGTTGTAGCATTCTATTAACTATTAATTTGCCCACTGGCTCCCGCTGCTGAAGTTTAGTGAGAAACACTGATTTTGGTAAATAGGGTGTCTGCAGCAGGCCAATCGCTTTCAGCCCTCAGTTGCACTAAATTCTAATCCACAAGCCCAGAGTGGACTCTAACACTACGACTGTTGGCATTCCTCCCCTTCTTTGAGACAACTATTATGATAACCAGATTAAATCCCTCATTTCTTTTCACTAAAGCTGTTCAGCTTGACTTTGTTTTTCTGTTAAGAAAGGTCTCGTTGGGATGACATTCGTCACTCATCACTGGGAAGGGAACCAGCTGACTTCATGTATGTCAGTTGCTAGGAGCAGTTAATTCAACATTTTCTGGATTAATAACTTTCAGAGTTATTGTTAGTCAACTTGATATGGCAAGCTGTTCCAGCATTTAATAATTAAAATGGATATGTGTCGCAGATATCCAGAATTCAGTTCCACCCAGTCAAAAAGAACATTTCAGATATTCACATTCTTCCCAGAACAAAAGCATCATTTTTACCATTCATGTTCCTCATCGCAGACAACGACAGTTCATCTGGAATGTGATTTCTTGAAATTCTAGATTGAAATATCTACGGTTTATTTCTGAATCCAAGATACCTACATTGTCTTGTAAAGATATCCCAAATTCAATTTAAACTAGCTAGGAATTTTGACTCGTCAACATGTTATTCCAGAAACCTTTGACGAGGTGAAATGATGCTGCAGATATCTGTAGTTAAGTCAGAAGTTAGCAGGAGGCAGTGGCAGCTTGCATTTCAAACATACTATTGCAGTACAAGCATAGCGGCATACGACTGGCGTTTCATCAACAGAGCAGCCTGATGCTGAAGTCATTTTCAATCAAAACTCCTCATGAACAAAGCTGCCATTCTCCACAAATTCCTT